TTATACACTGAGGGAGTTCCAGCCCTTGCTCTTTAACCAACTGAACTGAAAGGACACAAATTTTACTGCCATGGTGTAATAGGAGCAATTTGAAGGGATAATGCAAGACAGCATTACTTTGTTAATGAAGTTTTCCTTTACTATCACTAAATGAAATATATATACACACACACACACCCCCTAAAACCCACTATAAGGGGAAAAAAAAAATAGACATTTTAGCTTTACTTGATCTATGCTTCAACACAAGCAAGTTGAGTATCTGCAGATGTTTGTATTTTTAATTGTACATCTAGTGGTTTGCATTTGTAGGAGAGGTGAGCATGTATATACAAGCACTAACATTTAGGATTAAAGAATTTGTCCCTGTGGGTTTGTGGCTATAAATCCAAGTTGTTGAATGTGTAGAAGCACACAAGGTATGCTGGGGGTACCTTTGTACAGAGGTGATTGAAGCCATAGATCGAATAAGATCATAGCTATGACCAGCTCATCTAACATGGAAACGTGGGTGTAGGTCTAGCATATTCCTGCCCAGGAATCCCAACATTACTTCAAACTACTGCTTCAGATATGATGACATAGAAGACGGAGGTGTTTGTTTATTATTATTTTTTTAAAATTATTTGCAGACCACCTGTGGTACTGCTATACTAGGCTTGTACTTCTACTCAGCTTAGCTTATTGATTACATTTACAGCTCTCTTGCCCACAATGCACCCCTTCCAACAGGCAGTTTTTTCCTGAATAGTTGTGACGCTGATAGCTTATTAAAGTTGATGAGGTTCTTTATAAGTACACCAGTTTGTTCAGTTCAGATAACAAAAGGACATTTTTATTTATTGAAATGTCTTTTTTTTTTTTTGCTGGATTTCAACCCAGTACCATGACTATGCTGAAATGATAATAAAAAAGTGATTTCAAACCATTTTGATAACTATAAAAAGAAATTATTACAATGGCATAGCCCTAAAAAATCCTCAATGTTAAAATCTGCTATAATTTTTAACCTACATTAGTGCAGTGACAAACATAAAAGAAAATGGGGTTAGCAAGTAATACCAAATCTAAAGTCCACGTTTGACACTTGGTAGGCTGTGTCGCAGCGTTTAGCATCAGATGGAAGAAAATTCACCCTGGTCTAATTTTATCAAGTCCAAATCATTCCCTCCCACCACGAGGAAAGGTTACACATTTTCCTCCTCAATCCCTTTCTAAGAAAACTGTCTCAAGACAGAAGTAGAGCTTAGTTTCTAAGACTTAGTTTCAGACTCTGTTTCTATTATTCATCAGCTGAGCAAATCAACTGGCTGATTGTGGATTAGGTCACCCACACAGAACTTCAAGTGTTTGGGCTATGTAAAGAATTTTTTTACTTTTTCTTTCCAAAAAACACCTGTCAACACTTATATCTACAGAACACCAGGATGTGCCGATGCACTAAATAGCACAGCAGGTGTATTTGTTGTCACAGGAGCGTTCGGCAAGAACCAGATAGTTAAGTACAACGTAAGCGCTGCAGTTAATCGGGCAATAATATCGAAATGTATTTTCAGTGCTGACAGTTCAGATTCTAATGAACCATGCACCTGTCAAACACAGAAACATCACGTGAAAGAATCACAGTTCCAAGATAAGTTCATATTTCTCCTCGTCTCCCAACAAATATTTTAAATGAATAGACACTAATATTCCAAATCAGCCTGTCTCAAAATCCCTGTGAAACTAACAGATGCATTCTCTACTTTAGCTGTATCAAACCAATGCATATCATATATCTCCATCTAATTAACAACAGAAAATAAAACATGTATTCCAATATACATGACTTTTTTTTTTTTTTTTTTTACTTTCCAGTAGCTATGTTGTTCAGTAGCTGCTTATCATTTTTGCTACTTTTGTTTCACTTTCTTTCCAGCTTGCATTGCATTATTTTTGCAACATTCCACCTAGACTCGACTTTGCTCTTGGAGGCATTAACACACCCAGAGAGCTTTACAGAACTCCTGATGGCCACAAGCTCAGATGACATTTCTCTTTCCAAGGTAGAGAGACCAAGTCCTAAGCATGAAGTCAGAACTCACACTAACAGCAGAAAGTGTCTTGTAGAAGCAGCAAACAGTTAATTAAAAAACAGCTTCACAGAAAGGGTAAATAAATTAATAAGCCACAGATCGTTATTCAAAAATAATATTGAAATTTCCCTTAAGCATTTACAGAGTTCTAAACTTTACCCTTCACACACCAGGTGTTGATTAAAACACATTTGCCGCAATTCAGAATATTAAGCTTTCAGCCTCCAAAGCCTTTAAGAACTGTGACTGGACTACTGTCTTTGATGGGAGATCAGTCACTGAAGAAATACAGGTCTAAACCTCAGCCTCTTGAGAATTCACAAAGATTTATGTATTTACTTACTGTTTCTTAGACTCTAAAGAAGCATGCTATCCTGATCTAATAATGAAAATCGTATTCAATAGATCATAATGCCAGAAAGGGCCATTATGATAATCCAGTGCAATCTTCTGCATAGTATGCTGCCATGGATTTAACGTGGAGATTGCAATGCTTGACTGAAGTCAGAACTTAACCTCTAAGTGCTTTTTATCTCTAGCATCAAATTCAGTGCTATAAAACAAAACCCAACAAACATACACCAAGTTCACAATTTACAAGTACTCCATTAAAATGTTCTTACTAGAAAAGAAACAAAAGTGACAGTAAAGCAAGTTTTCCTGTTCCTTTTACTGGAATAAATCCAGCTATTTTACCACTAGATTTACCTCAGATTTAAATTAATGTAAAAGACTAGATCATTTGAAAGCACTGTGGAGAATGATGTGAATACTACTAATTTACAATTCCTACAGAGAGAAAGAATAAAGAAGTTATTTCAAGCTTTTTGCATCCATATAAAACCATTTGTGGTCTTACAACTGCAAGAAAAGCCATTTAGAAGATTCACTGACTTGTATCAGGTAAAATACTAGTGACAGACCGTCACAGGAAATCACAGGATACCTTCATGTGCAATTTTATTCAATTTTCAGACTTAAAAGACGCATTAAATTATTGATGGAATTGATCTGAAAGACAAGAACAACAAAAGAGGCAACAGAAGCCAATCCTTCTGTGGCCCATGCCTGCTTGGTATTACATTATACAAGCGTTATCATAACTGACCATTTGGTGGTTTGAATATTTATAAGCATTTCCCTGCACAGTCACTCACACTTCCGCTGAACACCAGCTTCCATTCATTGCAATTTTTCCAAGAAAATTTCTTTTAAGAAAAAAAAAAAAAAAAAAAAGCTCCGTGAGGGACTGACTTTTCCTCTTCATTTTACACACACTAACCTGTGTGGTAGAAGCACTGAACAGAGAACAGCTGAAGCGCACATTTTACCTTACAGAATCACAATATTTTACTCCAGCTTCTCTGTGTAAGGAAGAAGAGAGGGAACAGAGTCCTCTTTTTGGACCTGGTGACAAACAGCCCCTTGGTACACAAAGAATTATGACAAGTGTTTTGGCAGAGGACAAGACATCCCCATACCTTTACAGTCTTCCATCTAAGAGTTTGTAGTTAAAAAAGCAGATGTCTATGTTTGACTTTTAAAATTACAGTTGTGTCCTGTACCAGTGCCAAAAGCACATCCCAAAGGGCTCCTCACATTTATTTCACATACATTTAGTAATGCTGTCAGTGGACAGAGGGCAGATAGAGTGCACAAGAGAGGTTTTGTGAGCACTGTAATAGCAGCCATCCGCTTACGTTGTAAATTGAACCAGGCTGACCCAATGGGGACAGTCACTGCACCTATCTACTAGTGATCTGAATCACGACATTATTGCTTTGGTATAGGATAACTGCAGGAAATCAATGCACCCAAGGAGCAGAAGTTGAGTCAGCCCTTCTCTGACAAAGTATTTCATTACTAACATTCACGGAAGGTATATTTTTTCCTCAAAGAAAATCCACTTTACTTGTCTCTCGTTAGGAGATTATCTTTTGAGGAGGACTAAGCCACTTGGTTTTATAAAGAGTTAAATCAGAAAGGTATTATGCATGGAATATCTGACCGTAACAATGAGGCCAGCAAAAGTCATGAAACTGTGTGTGGTACACAGAATAGTTTTCTAAATTGAATGTTTCTCTAAGTTTTCCATGGAAAAAATATGGTACTCCTCAGTGTGACAATGCAATATAAACAGTGCAGCTTCTTAACAGAACTGTCATGACTTAAGCCTTTCAAACTCCTCCTCAGTCTCATAGGAAGACGCCAACATTCCTCTATCTGCTTATTTGCTTAACTGTTCAAAAAGTCTACTTTCTAAACAAATTACAGAGGTAATATCTTAATGCTATGTTACTCTCATTACTGAGGCACCATCCTACATACTCACTTTGGCAAGTCAAGCACAAGCTCTTGTTTATTGCACGAGTGTAATTACAACACAGGTTTCTGCTAAACTAGAAGGAAGTCTAAGTAACATGCAGTTAGAAACTGAATTTTACTACCGCAAAGAAAAAAAATAAATTAATGTTGTTTTCCCTCTCCAGGCTGTATGTGGGAACAGCATCTTTAAGATGAAACTACAAGATACTCACTGTAATATAAATTTTGCTTAAAAACAATAGTGGTATTTTCTGAACACACGTTTCATCTTATGGTTACAGAGAAGCATGTTTACACATCAGTTACAGTAAAAATGCTCAAAACAGCAGCTGGTAGAAAGTCAGGAGATGTTTGTTAGGACAACGGGGCTTGGTTCCCACAGCCTCTGCACCTCTTATAAACTGGTACACCTTAAGAATAAAGCAGGATCATTCTTACAGGGTAAAACCATCCTGTCTGCTTTACGCACACAAAAACCACGACCAAGATGCAATTCAGATGAAAAGAAAAACCAAAAAAACCCCAAGTCCATAGAAATCAACGATTTTACTGTAAAGCTTGCTGGTATGAAGATTCGAAATCGTAAAAGCTGGATCTTACCATTAGCATTTTTCCCACAGATGAGATGCTCGTAAGGTTGCAACACTCCCCAAAGTTCAGCATCATTGTTGATAACCATCTCCAGGATTTCAGCTGAGATCTCCCCTCCTCCACCATCTGGGCTCTGACTTGCCAAAACCCTAGCCTTAATCTCTTCTACCAGGTTTTCCATGCAAGCGGTTAAAGAGATGGCTGCATATTCATGGATCCTAACTGAGATCCTAGTGTCCACCATCCACCTGAAAAACCTCCCCACTGAAAAAGTGAGGCCACATCTAGCTGATTTACCTTTCCTCAGTCCGTCTCCAGCACTCATGCTGTACAGAGAGAGCGCCTTGACAGTCGCCAAGACACAGCTTTCTGACAACGACCAGCTCTGGATGAGCTTGATAGCACTCTGCACCTCAAACCTGGTGCACTTGGAGTGCATCACGCTGAGCCGCTGAGCTTCCCTGGAGACCCTGATCAAGGCGCGCCTCAGTAACTGCGAGAGCCGCCTGACAGCTTCCTGAGAAAAGGTTCTGGTATTGCCATCTCCCTTCCCTTTTCTGAGTATTTTTCCAATGTCTTCATCAGTCCAAGGGTATTCCTCTAGATCCGGCAGCTTAGGACACTTGGAAAAGATATCTGCAACCTCGGGGTCTTCCGGCAGAACAGTGTTCACGGTATCCCAGCTGTTATTCCTACTGTTCATGGAGCCCGAGTAGTACCACCAGTTGCCTCTGTGCTGAGAAGAGGTGAAGGCTTGGGAATTGGACTTGGAAGAAGAGAGACTAAGGGACCTGCAGGAATCCCCTGCCCCATAACCAGAGTCCAAAGTTAAATCCTCCAGGGTCTTCAGAGTAGAGCTGTATATCCCAGCCATAGGAAAGACAGGTTAAGCCAACCGCAAAGAACACGAAAGGTGAGGCTGGGGCAGATCCCTCCTGCGCCTAC